TGAATGGAGCACTGGGTGTTATACGCAAACAATGAATCATGGAACACTACATCAAAAACTAATGATGTAATGTATGGTGATTAACATAACAGTAAAAAATTTACAAAAATAAAATGCTTGTTTTGTGAAAAGATGCTGAGCAAAATACATTTTTTTGAAACATATTTTCAGTGAGGAAAGATATTAAGTATATGTGATCATGTTTCAGAGTCTGAGCAGTTAGGAATTAATAAGGTTTTTTTTCAAAGATATGATTACATAAAATGTCTGTGTATATAAGATGTGAAAAAGAGAAGCCATACCTTATTATAATATCCAAGAGTCTGTTGTACTCCTTGTATTCCAGGAGGTCCCTGTATTAGAAATAAATCAAAGAGAAAGGTGTGAACATTTACCAAAACAACATGAATTTAAATAATGTATCTAAGAATTCTTGAAATCTTAGTTAAGAAAAAGCAAGCATATGTTTAGTCAAATATTCTAATTAATAGAGAATTACAGGAGCAATAACTTATCAGGTTCTTAAAGGTACTTCTAGGTTAAATCCTGCATGAATCCAAAGAGAGGTCCTAAGTGGGAATGTGTAACATTTTACCAGAAGGTCAGCCATCAGCATATTCTTTATTAAAAAATATTGTACCTGTAAAACTCCTCCAGGGAAGAGGTTGTAGGTTCAGTTTATTTTTGACACTTCTTACAGGACTTTGATCAATATATTATAGAAATGTGTGCCCATGTGTTATTAACTGAGAAAATATGGGAGAAATATTCTTTTGAATTGGTTGAGTGAAAATGGCTGCACATGGAATTTCAGACCGGAAAAAGATGTCTGTTCAAAAACCTCAGATTTAAGACATTCAGATGCTCACAGTCTTCAGTTGACATGGAGCGTTCACTAAGCACTATGCTGAGCTTTAGGTAGACAGGGAAGAAGACATTCGTCTGTCCCTAAAACTTCCAGATAGAGAAGAAGAGAAGAGTTTCTGAGTTTTCAGGGATTACATTTTGGGGGAGAGGGCCATAAGAAAATACAAAGCTTAGCATTATTTTAAATCAAGTAGTTCAAGCCAAAAGAGAGTCAGCAATGTCAGAAAAGAGACTGCATATTTCATCTAGACCTCGAAAACTTCTCAGAGGAGAGAAAATATTACAGAGGCAAAGCTCTTTACATTTTACCTCAGAAGATAACACAAAGAAAGACTATGATTGAGCAAATCAAACATCACTGTTATACAAAATTATTTTCTTTACAAGGAAATAAAAACTTTGAAAAGTGAAGAAAATTTTAAGGAACAATTACTAGCTGAACTCACTGATAGGAGAAACACCTTAAGTGTACTGAAAAAATTAATGTCGGTTAACATTTATGACTGGTATTTCTTATGAACAGCTTGTGTCTGAAGGTCTTTTCTAATGCGAAACCTTTGCATTGTGCTGCTAAATGCTGCAGATACAATGATGTAATGATGGATGTCTGGAAGCAGTTTGATATAACTCTTGAGAAAATAATAGGCCTCACGAGTGACGGAGCTGAGTATGATTGGAAAGACAAAAGATGTTGTTACTTTGCTGAAATAAAAACAGAGCTAATGTCGGAAAAGAATTCTCATGGCACTATATTTTTTTCCTGTTCTTTTTCTACCAGCCAGCGTTGTGTATTCTAGGTCAGTTAGATGAAGTAATGAGGAGAGCAATTGTTGGGTGGGAGTTTTTGCAAAAAGTTTCTAGCCAAGAAGATGCAAAATAAAAACTCATTCTTGAAAATTAGGAAGATTGCTTACACATTGCTCTTTCTGCAGCTATATAATGTGGCAAGGAGAAATTTTAGGTATCATATTGTAGTAGCATCAACAGGTGGCTTATGGATATATGCATAGTAGGCATTTGGTGAATGGTGAATGTGTGTTGATAATAAGGCTAATGAGATAAAAAGAATAGTGATGTGGTGGGTAAATTTAGCTTCATACACATTCATCCTTGTTGAAAGTATTAATAATTAGGGCTCCTAAATATAGCAGGATCATACAGTCTCTCAAAGAGAGAAGAATCAAATAAGAATAGCAAACATTTATAATGTATTTATTGTGTGCCAGGCATTATACTAGAGATCTTATGTGGATTAACTCATTTAATCCCTACAGTGACACTGAGTGGTATATACCATCATTATTTCCTATTCGAAGATATAGGAAATGAGGGTTAGAAATTGTTAATTGGCCCAAGGTCACACCACTGGTAAGTGGCAGGACTAATATTTAACATAGGTAGCCTAGACCCAAACTTAGTTCTCATCTACTCTCCTATCTTAACTTAAAAGCACACTCACAGCCTAAAATAATTTTGTAATCATTTTTTTTATCATATTGACTTTGCCCTAGAAATATTGGGTGATCACTCTTCCATGTTCTACTTAACATACTGGAACTGAAAAAAAAAAAATCAACAGAACTTGTACTTAGCACTTCTTATGAGCCAGCAATGTGATTGGTGTAGGAGGGGAAGATATGAACACTGTCTTTAGATGTAGTCCCACTACATAGATAAAGGAGGCCCCCCGAACTATTCTTTGCATCTCCCATCTATCTTCATACATTCTTGCAACCCATGATAGGGATATTATGCCTAAATATTCCCCCCAAGTTCCTCCCAACCCACAGCTATACTCAAAATGCATCTTATCTTTGTTTGCAGAGGTTGGGAGAGCAGGTGGTCAGAGAATATAAAAAGTGGGAGCCTTTGAGAGGGCTCTGGAAGTCAGTATGGAAAAATAAAGAGGAGAGCGAACAGAGTGGTAGGGGTTACCTGGCACAGAACAGGTAGCAGCGTGGATGAGAATAGTAAAAATAATGAGAGGGCAAAAATTGGGTGAGAATTAGGTCTGATCTTTTACAGACTGGTTATGTGCTCGCACCGTATAGCTGTATTACATAAACACAGAACATATTCCTCATCCAGGATCCTGATCTTGCTGTTGAGTGTACCACTGGGGATAGGGCAGGAGGGCTCAGTGCTGCTTCTCCTTCTAAAAACAACAGCAGAAGCACAGCTCACTGAACAGAGTCCCTGGCCAATAGAAAAGACTGAACAGTATGATTCAGATACACACAAGATTAAGAAACCTATAAAAGTTACTTCCATATTTTTATATGTTTTATTCTTGCCTTTAAATGTCAAATCCACAAAGTACTGCTCCAAATGAGGTTGATCTGAAGTTGTAGGCTCTGCTACCTAATCTACCGATGAGCATTTATGATGACATTTTCTTTCTTGTTCTTTTAGTCAGTGGGATACTCTGGGTATCACGGATCCTAGGTTTAATGTAACAGAGATTTACAGCTAACCATCTACCCTGAAGGCAGTCCTTTACACAAATTCTCCCCGAGGGCTAAAGAAGCCATGCAGTGACTGAAAAAAGACGCCAGTGGAGAGTCCTCAGGCAGTCTACCTCTGCCCTGACTGCAGCCTGCCTGGCCATGGCTCTCCGGGTTGTTTTGAAACTGGCAAAAAGAAACCACCTCAATCAATGTGGGGAGAGTGACGGTAAGAGAAACACTATGTATATAGATGCCCAGAGCAACTCTCTCTTGACTGCTGGAAGACCAGTATAGACCCTGGGGTCTTAGAATTGGCTGTCCTAGAGCCACATCCCCAAGAGATGTGCAAAATATTTTCCTCTTTTCTATTCTGGTACAATGCATGGCTGGAAAAGGTCCAATGAGTCATTTGTTTCCAAGTTTAGTAAGAGCTGTCAGTCTTACAGACTATCAATCAACTCTGAGGAAGGAGAAGTTAAAGACTTGTGGTAAGTGACAGGTCTCCTGGCACCACATGGTGTTAGTAGATGTTCCAGGACACTTGAGAGGTCACTTTCTCTAAGGTCTGCATTTATGAAGACTCATCAAGGAATTGCTTAGATGACCAAGGCCCAGTGGAGAATGAAGGCTCGCTACAGAGGCCACGTCATCCTCGGCTAATGCTCTCAGCCACTCCACTAGGAAAAGCAGTTGAAGGATTATGGAAACAAAAAAATGTCCCAATATCTTGCTCATGAGTAGTGACCTATACATAGCTATACAGAAATCATGGCTATACAACGTCTATCTATCTTTTATGCAGCTCTGCTCCACTCTACCTGTATTGGGTTGGGAGACATAGGACATCTTGGTTAATGTGATGAGTGCACAATTACAGAGCACCTTTCAAATGCTCATGAACTCCAGGGAGACACACCTGTTCAGAACCCAACCGGGCTCCCATGTAATTATCTGGGAGGTCTATATACCTGGTATGGGTAGAGATCCTAATGTTGTTTCCTACTGCAAAGAACCATACCTGGTGTGATGAAGTGAATTAATGCTGCATTCAATTTGGGATCATATACTCTCAGCAATAGTTTATAGCATTTAAAGGTTTTTTTGTTTGTTTGTTTTTACTAAAATCTTGTTAGAGGTGGAAAACAGAGAAGTATCGTGGTATCTGACACCAACGTCATCAAATGCATAGTGTGAAAATAATGAGCTGTTTGCATTATTTTCACCTTAGCAGATTTCTGTTTTGGCTACAGATTCCCTAAGTTTAAAAGATGGCCAGAGTTTTCTGTGTTAAAAACCACACTCTTCAAACCTGGTCTTGGCTGTACTTTTACTTTTCAGTTCATGCAGTACACAGAGCTTAAAGAACTCTACTTTTCCATTTTTTTTTTCCTTTCCCTAGTCTTTGGTGTAAGCTCTCTATGCAAGTCAGGGCTAAGACCTTTTGATTCAGCTTTATCACCCCCTAGTATTCTGAATCAAAATCTCCATGGCTCCACAGTTACTCTGCCTCCTCTCCGATCCTCCCTACTGAACCATTTCCCTTTTTTCCTTTTCTCTAAAAGCATCCTTTAGTTCTTCATCACTGCTGACTAAGCCTTCTTGAGCCATCTCGGTGCCCCTTATTTCCATGCCCCATAGCTGTTCAATCTCTTATTAGGGTCTCCTTTCAGGATTCACAAATACATCTTTTCAGGTTTTATAACAGCTGCCTTCTGGCCCTGTGGGTTTCCAATTAATTTCAGCTACAACCTTCAAAATACCAAAACCTCTGTGAGGAAAGCTGTACTAATCAACGATCTTCAAAACATGTTTAAAAATAGCTTTGCAGTAAGAACAGATAGAAAACTTATTATTGGAAAGTCATTTGGGCTAATTTTCAAGAAATATTCTCCATTTCTAATGGCTGGTAGAAAAGGCAGAGAACTGTAATTATTCTTCCCTTGGTATTAAAAAAAATATATCATGAGGAAGCCTAAACTCATTATAGGAATGGTAAGACGAAGCATATTTCAATATATAGTAATCACTGGAACAGCTAA